AGTCAAAACTATCATCGTTCATTAACTCTGTTCAAATAAATGTTTTAAAACAACAGTGTTAGTTGATAAAAATACAGACAAATCTCCAGAACAGTAAGCATTCCAGCTTTTAAGTTTCCCCATCTGCAATGAGTTGACTTTTCCTAACTTCAATAAAACTTTTTTTTAATGTTAATGATGGTGGTTGTTAAGCAAGAACAATATCTGTGGCCAGTTTCTAAGAGAGTAGTGCTTTATCTAAGTTACAAGTTATATTGTGGTTCTTGACAGCTTTAGATAGTATGTACCATGTGGAGTTTTCTTTTTGAGACAGGGTCTCTCTATAGCCCTAGCTGGCCTGGAATGCTTAAGAGATCCTCCTGCCTCTGCCTCCCAAGTGCCGGAATTAAAGGCGTGTGGCACCACACCCACCTTCATGTGGAGTCTTCTACAAATAGCCCGCCTTTCGGCCTGTTAGTAAAGCAGAGGAAGAATAATTCAGTGATACTAGTACAGTTGGGATATCTCTCTCTTGCTCTTCCTCAATTGGTATCTCACTCATTCTTTCATAGAGTTTTGCTGACTAGCCTGGCCTGGTCGCAAAAGCTTTACTTTCTTGCCTCACCCTCCCTTAGTGCTGGGACATGTGTTAACCATGCCCAGTTTGTTTGAGATTCTTGCTGGAATAAGCAGTAATTCACCTTTTTAGAAAATAACATGGAGAGATGGATATGTATGAATGGAGGATTTTGTGGGAGTAGTTTTTTTAAACATAATTTATACCTATAGTGATGGTCAAACTTCTAAGCAGGAAGGAAAGGTTCAAAATCTTTATATGCTCCTCATATTTCAGATCTTTTCCACAGACTTAGGAGTCACACTCCCTGGATTTGCTCCTGGTTTTTATCAATTAGTGTCAATATTTCATGAAGATGTTATGAGGATTCCATTAAGAAAGTATTTAGTACTATTCCTGAAATATGGATAAGCATTATGTATGCTTGATTAAAATGGAATCTGGGGGCTGGAGAGATGATTCAGTGGTTAAGAGTATTGGCTGCTCTTGTAGAGGACGCAGGTTTGATTCCCAGCACCCTCATAGCTGCTAACAACTGTCCATAACTCCAGTTCCAAGGGATCCAATGTCCTTTTCTGACTTCTGGAGCATTGTAGGCACAGATGCACTTACATGACAAGCAAAACTCTCAAACACATAAAATTTAAAAATAAATAGTAATTTAGGGAACCAAATAAAATTAGTCTTTGGTGAATCCAGTTACTTTCGCTTTGCTTAGTTGGTGTCATGTATCTCAGTAATACATGTCATAGTGTTTCTCATAGTGTTTCTCAGTATTCAAGCTGCTCTGAGACATTTTGGAAGATGAGTCTAAGAGGGTCTGAAATTCTGTGATTTGGGACAAGGCAGTTTCTGGAAGAACAGTCTAAGATGTGAAAGTTTGACTCCCTGAGTGCTATTCTTTCTTTATACAAATAGAAGTTTCTGCATTGAATACTTAAGGCCATATTTAACTGTGTAAACTAAATGGAAAGAACATAAAAATATTTTTGTGATTAACTGTTTGGAGTTGGGTGTTTCTTGGTCTGAAAATTTGAAGATTTTTTTTGCTCCTTATAATGCCTTCTTGTATTGTTCTTGCTTTAGCAGACGGAAATAATACATAACATTAGTGACATAAAGAAATATTGCTTGTGACTAAATTTAAACACAAAATTTGTAAAGCAAAGTAAGATTCAAAAAAAACTTAGTTTTGAAAGTAAGCTTAGCAATTTTTTCATGCTTTGTGTGCCTGTATTGAGGAAGCACTATTAGATAACATGAGGTGAATGTACAGGTCAAAAGTTATAATGAAGAGATGCTTATAAACTCTAATTACCAGAACAGATACAAAATTAAGCCTGGGGGAAAATATTAAAGATTTTGTTACTAAATCATGAAGAAACCATATGAAAGCCCTGCTACGGAGTTTGAATTAGTTATCAAAAAGCTCCCAACAGGCTGGAGAAATGGCTCAGTGGTTAAGAGCACTCACTGCTCTTCCAGGGAACTCAAATTCCATTCCCAGCACCCACATCAGGCAGCTCATAGCCACCTGTAACTCCAGCTGCAGGGGATCTGGCACCCTCTTCTGGCCTCATCTGGCACCCAAACATGTGTTGCACACACGTAAATACATTTTTTAAAAATCTTGAGAAAAGGGGGCTGGAGAGATGGTTCAGTGGTTAAGAGCACTGACTGCTCTTGCAGAGGACCTGGATTCAATTCCCAGCACCTACATGGTGGCTACAAACCATCCTTAATTCCAGTACCAGGGGAATCCGAAGCCCTGTTCTGACCTCCGCAGCATTGCACGACATGGGTGCACTCACATACATGCAGGCAATACACTCATACACATAAAATAAAAATAATAAAAAAA